TTGTGTGTATAAATATATACAGTTCGAGTATAATGTAGTAGTTAGATAGGTAAAAATCGTAAATCTACGATATCTCATATCAGTTCACACGAAGTTAATAGTTTTGTTCAAAACATTAAAAAATACCTTCATTTTCCTTGAGGAAAAAAGACAATTGGAACTTTTATGCATAATTCAAACTCTACATAATTAATTTGTTATAAGAAAAATAATAATTATATAGCGGATGGATTGGGGGTAATAATAATGTTAGTATTTTGTCTATGGCTTTGACATTTATACCTTATTTCAGACCTTTTGTGTATATTTTATTTATAAAATAAGAAAAAATGGAGACAAATTAGCCTTATTAAACTTTTTGTGCTAGTTTTTTTCTTTCTTTTGGGTTTCTAGGTGGGATTTGTATTAACTTTATATTATATCAAGTAATTATTCAATCAAATGTCTATTAAACAAACATGTGATTTTGTTTCCAGTTGTTTTTAGCTAAGCCTAAATTATTTGAATGTCCTACAAATTCGAGTTCTTGTATATTTTATTATAATTATTATTTTGGTTTATTTCCTGTGTCTATTGGATTTATTAGTAAGTGTATAAATTTTGCTATTTTTAATTTATATTTGGTGCAGTTTTCAGTGCTATTAGTACAATATCCCCTATTTGACAGGATTTCCTGATCCTTTTTTAATAGGTGTTCCTGTTTTTTAATTCCTGTTAAAATAATCAAAGTTTGTTAAATATGTATTGGAGTTTACTTTTTTGGAAAACAAATTTTTTTTTTTTGATGAAAAGAGAAACCCGCAGCCGCTACCCTTTGAGTGCGCACAGGGTAAATTTTTGGAAAACTAATTAAGAGAGCAAGTTTTATTTTTCTCAAAAATAGATTGCAAGAACTATTTAAAACTTTTTTAAAACACAATTAAATTATCATTATAAACTATCACTCATTTTATACTATATAGCACATGATCTCAATGGTAAGTTGATCTGAATAAATATATGGCCAACTCAATATTGATGTATATTTTAATTAAAAAAAGTGATAATTTAAAATAGATAAAAAAATAAAAATAAATAGTTGAGTTACTAATCTCTTAAAAAAAAGTGAAGTTTTGACCATTAAACTTTCTAATATAAGGAATCTGTTTTTTTTAGTTAGCTAGTGTGGTTTTTCACTGGATCTAATAGGGATCAATTCACTCAATTGGTTGTTGGGTGGGCATGATAGGTTACGGTATGGTATTTGAAAGTTTTGATGTCGTAATTTTGATATTCGGTTTTTAAAACATTATACCACTACCATATCAATTTAAATTGATATAGTTTAATATTTTAAAGTTTGACTTAGATATTTTACGATATGGTAAATCAATAATCATAATTTATTTAACTTCAACTAATTTATTATCTTTTTATATTTAGAAGATGTAACATAAAATACATATTTTCAAAGACCCATTTCTTGTATTTAAACCATAAACAAAATTTTGAACAATTTTCTCCTGGAATTTACTGTGCCATCCATTGAAAAAAACAGTGTTAATAAGTCAAAGGCTAGAAAAAGCTGTTGGGCATGTAATAGTTGTTCGTTTTTCTCCATAAAAGCTGCCAAAGTCCCTTAGTTTAATGAGAGGACCACAATGGCTGATTCCATCTCTCAATTAGTACACTAAATTTACATTTTTTAATGGAAATTAAACGTCGATCTTCTTAAAATTTTCATATAAAGTTCATGGAGTACTTAATTATTGAAATATATGCAAAAGACTACCCTATTCGCGTCAAAATAAATGGTGTTTTAAGTTTGCATACACTCTATAAGAAATAAATAATTGTAATGATGTAAAACTTCATGTATTAAAATAAGGATAATTTTGAAAGAACAATATTTTTAACTTTTCTTAATTATGTAAAACATCATTTACTTTAAAATAAAATAAATAGATAGAAATAGCATTTATTCTGAAAAGAAAAAAAGTGAGGTAAAAGTACAATAAATTAAAATCATATTCTAAATTTTGAGACATGTACGAACAATCACCTAAGTACACGTTGGGTTGCTCTTAATATCTCCTCATAATTCTGATACAGTGGTGGTGGGGTAATCAAGGATTGGGTTACGATGAGTAGGTGAGCAGGAGATAATTTAAAATTTTGCTTGTAAAACTTATTTTTAAAAATATTTTGATCAATAGGAATTTCATTTTTTTTTTCTAAAAAAAATAATTCTCAAAACTATTTAACCAACCAAGAAAAATTTGAATTCTCCGTACTAAACATATTCTAAATTGAAAAATTACAATAACGTTTTTCGGATCAATTAATTAATAAGTTGACTTGTACTCGACCGAAGCTACATGAAAGTATTTTTAATTCTCATGATCCGATCAATAACAGATACTACAATATTAACAATAGTTTTATTATTATTAATTCAGTTTTAATTAGTCTCAACTTGATCAAGTGAAAAAAAAAAAATCCTCTTCTGTATTGCAGTGAGATATATATTAAAAAGAAAAAAAAAAGAAATTTAATTGAACTGTTAGAAAATAATGCATCATAAGCTAATCTGGTTGTGTTTGAATTCAAATGGGATAATACTAGATTAATTAATTGATGTGTTTGAATTTAAAAGGATAACTAATGTACTACATTAAACATATTTTTTATATATATAATTATGACAGTACAATTCCACGACAAGCTGGTGTTACCATATTAGGAGGGTCATAATTCCATAAATCATGCACGTACTTCCCCTATAACAAGCTGACATAAAATTATTGCTTCCGCCTTCGTTTTAAAATAAGTGTTATTTTAGTTCATTTCATATTCATTAAAAAGAAAATAAATATAGTGTATAGAAACTAATAAGCTATCTCTATTTATAAATGTTTCTAAAAAGTAATATTTCTTTAATATAAGTTATCCTTGAAAATAGTTACTCCCTCCGTTTTGATTTTTTTGTTTGATTTTGAGTTGCAAGAAATTTTAGAAAGTAAAATAAAACTTTGGAATCATGTGATTTTAAATTAAAAATATGTGAAATATATCAAATGTTATTTAATCTTGTGATTATAACATGTTAGGTGTAAATTTGAAATTAAAAAGTTATTAAAAAAGAAAAAAACTATTCATTTTAAAATTGATTAAAAAATATGAAACGAATGATAAATTTCTAAGGGAATAATTATTTTGAGATATTTTTTCTAAAACAAGGAGGTTGTATAAGTGAAAAGGGGAACCATTCACCTGAAAAATGGGGGAATTATTTAATTTCACATAAAACTTTCTTCAAGTATGATTGTTGCTAATTAAGGACTATAATTTATAGGTGAGTGTTTCAATATTTTTACAAAATCAAATATTAATTGGAAGTTTCTAAACACAATTTTCAGACTTTGTCAAAATATTTGAATCTCTTTAAGAAAAAAAAAGTAGAAAAGATTCATTTTCATTTAAAAAATAAAAATCGAAACAACACGCCACCTTATTTTATTAGACTATTTATTTAGTTAATAATTTATTTATTTGTATTACTTAATTTTTCTTTTTTAGCCAAACCATGCACACGACGGGCCAATTACAAAATTACATCGTCATTTTCTAGGAGGATTTAATCATACGCTTTAACAAGGACGTGAAACACACGGTCCAATTAAATGGGAGCATTTGTATGGAGACAATTGGATTTTCGTTTTAAGCGTCTGAGAATGTGATCAATAACTACAAGGCAAGGAACAGTTGAGAATCTTTGTACATTTGCTTGAAACACCGTGCAATATTATCCTTGTTAGTTTGATATTTCGAATTAAGATTTTTGATTGAATTAGGCACATTCAATATGAAAATTGGGAAAATACTTATGGTTAAAGTCATTTTCTCATGAAAGTATGGAAATAAATTTCTACAAGTAATATTTTATGTTGATTGTGCTCTTTTCAATCTTTAACATACTACTTTATATTCACTCTATCTCGTAACCTCCATCCCCACCAGTGCACCACCCCTATCCCCTCCCCGTGTTTGTTAAAATTATATATAAATGATTTTATGATAAAAAATTGTGCTTACTTATTGAACACAAAAACAAGTAAGAAATTCATTTACTAAACATTTGACGTAGTATATTCTTATAAATTTTTAGTACTAAAAAAACACAGTTCTTTTCTTGACTACATCCTTCTTGACTTTGTTACCTAAACACTTATCTTAAGCAATCTCTTCCAATTTAACATTATTTAAATTTAGAATCTCTAGTGCTCCTTGTTTAAGTTTTTCTAGAATCGCAAAATAACAATTGAATCATTCCACTCATACGACTAGTGTTGGGCTCCCTTTTGCTATTCAAAGTGTGTAAGGCTCTATCAAATCTGCTAATGTTATTATCAATCTAATAAAATTTATTCAAGAAACACTTGTCACTTACCAACTAAATATCAAAATTTTTTTCAAGAACGACTAAGATACATTTTTTTTAGATTAAAAAACAAATCCCGTTTACTTATTAGTATTTGCCAGAATTGTAAGCTGAGGAAACTTTCAGTTGATTAATTAAAGTAATACTCTATGATTTTCTGTTTTCCATTTACATCAGAATTCAGATCTATAATTAATTTTTGCAGTTGGATGAACTTTATGAAAAGCGTAGGAAACGCCAAAAAATGGGACCCATAATTCATGTACCACTTTGAAATTAATACCTAATCGTTCAGTTGCTTAGATTTTTAAAATTAAACTATTATTTTAATTTTAAATTAGCTAATATGTAAAAACTCCTAGACACAATGCCAATCAATTTTAATATTTCTGTTACACCAACTTTGGAAAAATACTTAATCAGACGAGTTCGAGCCTGGTTATGAAAGAAATCCTATTAAAAAAATGAATTATGTAGTACGTGATTCAGACTTAATCGAATTCAAATATAGAAAAACAAAATCTTTTTAAAAATAGAACAGTAATTAAGGTGTTTAAAAGCAGCTGCAAAAGCACCATTTTTTTCCGCAAAAGTCCTGAGTTGAGTCCTCATTTCTGTCCAACAAAAAAGTAACGGAATTTATAAAAGAGAAAACAAAATTTTCAGGTTAAAAAACACAGCTGTTTTCCCTTCCCGCTCCTTAATGTTCTTCTTTCTGTCTTCACATTTGCTAGTTGAAGAATAAAGTTGCAAACAGGGAATTAAAGAGAAGGGATAAGGTGGGTGGGGATAAAAATCCCTTCTTTTTTCTTTTTTATCTTGTAAAGGTACAATCTTGAGACTTGGAGCTGAGTTCTTGATTCTAAAGAAAATGGTTTCAAGGCTAGTAAGGTTGAATGTGTTGTTGATGCTGTTAGCATTATTGGGTTCATGGGTTTTTTCTGGAATGTGTTCTGTGTCATATGACCGTAATGCTATTATTGTGAATGGTCAAAGGAGAATTCTTGTTTCTGGATCTATTCACTACCCAAGAAGCACTCCTGAGGTATGTTATTGTGAAATGTACTTCAGTGCTGGTTTTCTGAACATTAAAGTTCTGTTCTTTTGGGCAAAATGAGTTCTCTTCTAAGTTGTTTTCTTGATTTTTTGTTTTTGGTGTTGTATAGATGTGGCCGGATCTTATTCAGAAGGCCAAAGAAGGAGGGGTGGATGTGATTCAGACCTATGTTTTCTGGAATGGGCATGAGCCTGAACAAGGCAAAGTGAGTAAAAGTTTAGACCTTTGCTCATAATTTCCATAAATTTACTGATATTCAATATAATGTAAGTAAAAGTTGAGACAAGGGTCTATCGGGAACAATATCTCTACCTCCTTCCCAGACCCCACTTGTGGAATTTCACTGGCTATGGTCTTGTTGTTGTTGTGAGTTAAAGTTGAGACCTTTGGTGATAATTTTCATAAATTTACTGATTTTTCAATTGTGAGTGAAAAATTGAGACCTTTAGTGATAATTTTCATGATTTACTAATATTCAATTGCTTATGTTTTTCTTTTACAGTATTACTTTGAAGAGAGGTATGATCTAGTGAAGTTCATTAAGATAGTGCATCAAGCAGGTCTTTATGTGCATCTCAGGGTTGGACCTTATGCTTGTGCTGAATGGAATTTTGGGTAATGGCTCAAACTTCTTATCCTATCTGCTAAAAAAAATGTGATACTCATATTGGCATAAAGTTAAATTCTTGCTTTGTTTTACCTGTTTCAATTTTAGGGGTTTTCCTGTTTGGTTGAAGTATGTTCCAGGCATCAGTTTCAGAACAGATAATGAACCTTTCAAGGTTAGATAACAAACAAAGAAGAAAAAGAAAGAATCTTTATGGCATTACTTCTAAACTGGTATTACTTTAACTGTCATTTTTTTTTCTTCTAATTTTGCTTGTTATCCTTTTCTTGCTGATGAAGTCTGCAATGCAAAAGTTCACTACCAAGATTGTTAATATGATGAAAGCGGAACGGCTGTACGAATCACAGGGTGGCCCTATAATACTATCCCAGGTGTCTTAAATGTTTCCAATTTTTCCTAATTCTAGTACAGTTTGTAGGACAAAAACTATGTTTTTTTGTCCCCTAAGCTTAAAATGTGAGGTAAATTGCTGAAAGTTTCAATCTTGATAACTTATTTGACAGATTGAGAATGAATATGGGCCAATTGAGAAGAGACTGGGTGAACCAGGTAAATCTTACTCAGACTGGGCAGCAAAAATGGCTTTGGATCTTGGTACTGGTGTACCTTGGGTCATGTGCAAGCAAGATGATGCTCCAGATCCTGTTGTAAGTTTTGCCCCTATATCACCAACTCATTTATTTTGCTCTTTCTTATTGTCTTTTTTCAAATCTTCCATAAAAAAAATTCAACATCAAGAATTGAGTGAATACATTAATTCCTGCACATGGGGTGTTTTTTTAGTTCACAAAATCATATCTGTTCTCTTGTCGTTTCATCAAATTTCAATGAATTTTGTTACTATTTGAATCACCGACTTGAGACCATGTTAGTTTGTCTTTTAATATAATATGAACACACACCTCTTCTAACAGTCTGCTCAGATTTCCATTTTATTTACATTGTAAAAATACTTGGGGAGTAAATTCTGTTACCAATTTGTCTTCTTATTTTTACAGTAAAGCTATAACTTTTGTTCTGCATTTAATTACCCCCGGTTTAATTTGTTTGTCTGGTTTTAAACATGTCATGTGGAATGTTAGAATTAAATAATTGCCAAATAAAAGAAAGAGACATTCTTTTGAAACGGACTAAAAAGAGTAAAGTAAGACAAAATATTGAAATTATGGAGGCAGCAGATTACAATGACTGAACAAAGTTGAGGCAGAGCAAATGCATGTAATTTTTTTAATCTGAATTTGGATATTTAAATCTATTTTTTTTTCAAAATAAATTTATTTATTTTAGGAAGTTTATAAGAAAGTACTCTAAATCACTAAATAAAAAAAATGAAAATTCTTGAAAAGATCATGGTCAAAGAAAATTTGTTTGATCTTCAAAATTTTAACAGTGTCATTCTTTTTGTTAAGTAATTAGTACTATTTCTAATATTTCTTCTTTTATCATCTTACTATAATGTATCTCTTTACCTTGTTTAGATCAACACTTGCAATGGTTTCTACTGTGACTACTTCTCACCAAATAAGGCTTATAAACCCAAGATATGGACTGAAGCTTGGACTGCCTGGTAAATTGGCAAATACATCTTTAAGAAGAAATAAATGATCAGTTTTTTACTTTTTACATAAGCAACAGTATATGCTGGAATAATTTTCTTATTTGACAATTTTTGCAGGTTCACTGAATTTGGAGGTCCAATTCCTTATCGTCCTGTTGAGGACTTGGCATTTGGGGTTGCTAAATTCATACAGAACGGGGGATCATTCATCAATTACTACATGGTATATAGAGTGATTTTTAATTTTCAAGAGCTATTATAACTTTTGAATCAAAGAACATTGTTTTATGATGTTTCTTTTTCTTGTTGGCTCAGTATCATGGAGGAACAAACTTTGGTAGGACTGCTGGTGGCCCATTTATTGCTACTAGTTATGATTATGATGCACCACTTGATGAATTTGGTATGCACTTCTCCTTTAAATTTGAGTTTGGGACTAAATATAGTCATGCAAGGATGATAAGCATCAAATCCTATGTTATGTAATTGTAAATTGCTTATATTTGAATTATTTTCGATGGAACTGCTTTTACTTGAGCTGAGGGTCTGTCGGAAACAACCTCTCTACCTCCCAAGGTAGAGGTAAGGTCAGGTACACTCTACCCTCCCCAGACCCCAGTTATGAGATCACACCAAGTATGTTGTTGTTGTTGTATCTAAGTCAACTCTTTTTTTGTTTGTTTGGTCCTTTTCTTTTCTTTTTTGCCAACATTTTGATAATGCTGCTTTGTTTAACATTGTATGACAATCATCCCTATCATTTCACAACCATGGAAAAGTGGACTCTTCGACTAAATGTGTTGTTTGATTAGAGTAACAATTTTCCCTGTTGTAGTTGAGCCTGAATGCTTTTAGGTTACCACCTGTTATTAATCTAATAGAAAAGCCAACCAAGAGATATATGATGGTGTAGTTACATTTGAAGCAAAGCTGGTGACGAAAGTATCTACTGCTTCTTTGAAACTCTTCCTGGTTTCCGGATATCTTAGCTTATATTAATTATACCATCTAATGTGATTGCTTTGATGAGTCTAGTGCTGCAACAAATATGATACCACACTTTCAAGTGAAGTTTTCCTTTTGATCTTTAGGATTATTACGGCAACCTAAGTGGGGTCATCTGAAAGATCTGCATAGAGCAATAAAGCTTTGTGAACCAGCTTTAGTATCTGGCGATCCAACTGTGACATCCCTTGGAAACTTTCAAGAAGTAAGATTTGTTGCAATTCCTGAACAGTCTACATAAATGACTAAATCTGAAGTGAAATTATCTGCACTTTCTTTCACAGGCTCATGTGTTTTCGTCAAAGTCTGGGGTGTGTGCTGCATTCCTTGCAAACTACAACCAACATTCTTTTGCTACAGTGACTTTTGGGAACAGGCATTATAACTTGCCACCTTGGTCTATCAGCATTCTACCTGACTGCAAGAACACAGTTTATAATACTGCAAGGGTGAGAACGAGACTTTCTCCATTAAGCATTTGTGCTGTTTGATGCATAGCAATGAAATTGCATACCGAAGTCTAAATAAACATTAATGACATACAAAATAGAGAATGCCTTACCTCATTCGCATACTACAACTGACGACTCTCTTAATTCCATGTGAAGGTTGGTGCTCAAAGTGCTCTGATGAAGATGACTCCAGCAGATAAAGGATTTTCTTGGCAGTCATACAATGACGAGCCATCATCTTATGAAGACAGTACTTTCACGGTTGTTGGGTTACTGGAGCAGATAAATACCACAAGAGATGTGTCTGATTATTTGTGGTATATGACCGAGTAAGTGCTTGTGTAACTTCTGATTGCTGCTTCGCACGTCAAAAGTAGGAAAATTAATAACAATTCAATTACTTTAGCTTTCACACAAGTTCATGATCATTTATGTCTATCTTCAGTGTCAAGATTGATCCAAGCGAAGGGTTCTTGAGAAGCGGACAATGGCCATGGCTTAGAGTCTCTTCAGCTGGCCCTGCTTTGCATGTTTTCGTGAATGGTCAATTAGCAGGTGAATCACATGATCTTTTGTTTTTCATGAGCTTTACATTTTCATCTTTAGTTCTGCACGGAACCTTCAAACAATATCTGTTAAGGAAATACCAAAAAAGATGAAACACTATTACATTTCTGTTTGGTTTATGTCAATTGAAAAACATCTGTTTGCAATGAAATTTTTCTATAATCCGAAAGGTGAGAACCATTTGGAGTCACCAGGAACCCCCAAGCAACTAAATAATTTATGTGATAATAAATATGTCTTGATCCGTTAATTTTATTTTTTCTGCAGGAACTGTATATGGAAGTTTAAAAAGCCAGAAAATTACTTTCAATAAAGCAGTAAATCTAAGAGCTGGTGTAAACAAGATTTCTCTGCTAAGCATTGCTGTTGGTCTTCCGGTTTGTCCTCTCCCACCTTCCCCCTCTTTCTCTATTGTCGTCCATATATGTATATCCACACGCATAGAACTTATTTTCACAGTCACACTTTTGGTACTTTGAATACACATATTCACTTGGTTTGGTTCTACTTGTGCTTGAGCTCAGAATATTGGCCCACATTTTGAGACATGGAATACTGGTGTTCTTGGACCAGTTTCACTCAGTGGTCTTAACGAGGGGAAAAGAGATTTAGCTTGGCAGAAATGGTCTTACAAGGTTTGTTTTTTAAAACGTTCAACAGAAAATTTGGTTGCTTTGACTACCAGTTCATTTTACATTTTAACTTTCTTGATCAGGTTGGTCTAAAAGGAGAAGCCTTGAATCTTCATTCGCTCAGTGGCAGCTCATCTGTTGAGTGGGTTGAGGGCTCTTTGGTGACTCAAAGACAGCCTCTCACATGGTTCAAGGTGCATAACTAATGAATATTTAGTTATCTTAAGTTGTGTGCATTAGAGTAAGCTGTATGGTGAAGTGATCTACTTTACCATAATGATTTTCATATCAAGCATTAAATCATTTTGGTGTGTTTCCAGACCACTTTCAATGCTCCAGCTGGAAATGAGCCTTTGGCTTTAGATATGAATACCATGGGCAAAGGTCAAATGTGGATAAATGGACAAAGCCTTGGACGTTACTGGCCTGGATATAAATCATCTGGTACTTGTAGTGCCTGTAACTATGCAGGCTACTTTAATGAGAACAAGTGCTTAAGTAACTGCGGAGAGGCCTCACAGAGATGGTAAGTAATGACAAACCTTGCGGAATTTTCTTCTGATATTACAAGAAGCTACTATTAACTGAGAATCATGATTTAGGTATCACGTGCCACGTTCTTGGCTGCATCCTACTGGAAACTTGTTAGTTGTATTTGAGGAATGGGGAGGAGATCCCAACGCAATCTCTTTGGTCAAGAGAGAATTAGCAAGTGTCTGTGCAGATATAAATGAATGGCAACCACAGTTGGTGAATTATAAGATGCAAGCATCTGGGGAAGTTGACAGGCCACTCAGGCCTAAAGCGCACCTCCGTTGTGCTCCTGGTCAAAAGATCACTTCAATCAAATTTGCAAGCTTTGGAACACCAGTGGGGGTCTGTGGAAGCTTCAGTGAAGGAAGCTGTCGTGCCCACCACTCATACGATGCCTTTGAAAAGGTACTAAACTTGGTATATATGCCAGTTTCTTTTATACTCCTTCAAAACTGATGTTCTATTGCATTATACTCTTGGACCTAATCACACTAAGTTCTGTTAAGAGTTACTCTGACCTATTTCCTCTCATTTATATAAACAGAACCTATTGAAGGATGTTTTTTTTCTTTCTGATTGAACTAATAGCATTTTTCTTTTGTTTTCCATTTTTGGCAGTATTGCATTGGGAAAGAGTCGTGTTCAGTACCTGTGACACCAGAAATTTTTGGTGGTGATCCATGTCCAGGTGTTATGAAGAAACTCTCAGTTGAAGCTCTCTGCAGTTGATGACACTGAGGACAAGCAAACAAGGAAGGTTTTAGCTAGTTACTGTTATATACACTAGCAATATTTTAAGTATTCTTTTTCTAATCCAAGAATCACCACAATCATTCTTTGGCTTCACCGCGGGTGAAGTTGTACAGATATGCAACACACCCCTTTGTGTAAAAGCTCACATCAATTGGAAAAGAAACTGGGGAAAAGATTCTGTATATTATGTAAGTTACTGTACTAATAACATTGGTGTTCGCCTTGGTTGAAGTGTACATCTACATGAATCTTGATGAGGCCATGTGCTGTGTGCAGATACTTTTAGTGGTAGCATCTAAAAAGCCTTCAGTCTTTGAGGAATTTCAACATTGTAATATCTACATTAGATGCAATCATGCATTGCTTTGTACTTTATAGAAATGTTCTTGTGACATTGCAATAACATCGAGCTCTCTGGCAGTTGGACTGCAGCCAATCATCTATAGTTTGCTGATGACAAAGTGGTAACAGACAATCTTCTCTTTTTCCCTTCCCCCCTTTCCTCATAAAAATGACAGGTCTGTCCCCTTTTTAACATTTTCACTTATCATAGTTTCACACCTACGCACAGGTGCATCTATAGGTCATCACAGAACATGTAGACCTTTTATTTTATCCTCGATGTGTGCTACTTGCACCCTCTCCTCAACGTGTGCTACTTGCACACACAAGCGAATATGGTCATTTCTAGTTTGGTATGACTGTAAATCCATCTTAGCATTTACTTCTTCACAACACTCATCTTGGAATATGTAGGACTTTAGGAGCCCAACATTCACTCATCTTGCTTAAACCTTTTTGTTGCTCACCTAGCCATTATGAGTCAACAACCCTGCCCATACGTTTGAATCCTATCCCAAATTTCTGGCATTTATTCTACAGACATCAATTTTTGGGCAGACTGCTGTCTACTACAGATTTCAAGAATGAAAAGCAAAGGGGAAGAAAAAGAAAGAAAGTTGCCAAATATTTCCAATATTACAAAATTCATATATAACAAATAATTACTCCACAATGCTTACCTCAAATTTGTTTATTTGATCTCTCGTAGAAGTTCTTGGTATATATTCCACCTGCTCATATATAAAGAGACTTCTATATTGATAAGGCTACAAGCAATTAAGCCAAATATTCCAAATTAGTACGAGATTCAACATCATAAGATTTCAATAAGATCAAAATTTTATCAAGTTCCACAGAATTGTATAGCTAGAAAGTACAATCAAGATTGCAGGGAAACTGTTTAAGGAGAAGTATGACGACAAGATACAACTAAGCCTATGCTAGTACCAGGAAACTGGTTGGTCACCGGTAGCCTGGGAACTTCTTCTCTTTGGTTCTTGTCTGATGAAGCAAGAAGCAATTATACCTTTTACTGAGTCTTGGCACAACCTAGATCATTTTCACTATGATAATAACAAATCAACAAGGCTCCCTTTTGATCAGTCAATCTTCACAGATGAGTAGATTTTCCTAACAAACCAGAAGGAAGCATAGAATCCAATTGTCCCCGTTACTACAAAGAAGGCATATGATGCAATCAACATATAGCTGAAATACAGGATTCCTGAAACCAACTTTGTGATTTCCAACTTGGTGAAGAAGTAGAAGACAGAGTAGAAAAACAGGTATAAAGCAGAGGATCCAGCAGTCAGATAAGCTCTCCACCACCAATGATAATCTTCACTGCACAACTGGAAGTAACAGAGAACAACGGATATCTCCGCACATGTGATTATCAAGATCAGGAAAACAATGAAAAGGAAGCCAAAGATGTAGTAGTACTGGTTCAGCCATATAGAGGTCAGGATGAAGAAGAGTTCAATGAAAACAGCTCCAAATGGGAGAATACCCCCAATAAGTACAGAAAAAGACGGTGTCATGTACCATGCCTGCTCTGGTATTTGCCTAGGGATTTTGTTTGTCTTAACAGGGTCTTCAATGGCTGGCTTTTTATATCCAAGGTAGCTTCCAACAAACACTAAGGGGACCGAGATTCCAAACCATAAGCACACAAGAGCAAACATGGTTCCAAATGGCACTGCTCCAGAAGACCGCTCTTCCCAGATGAGAGCATTCAATACAAAGAAGATAGCAAAAAGTATACCAGGGAACATGAAAGCAGTTTTCAAGGTAATCCTTTTCCACTCTGTTCCCTTGAACATCTTGTATAGACGTGCAGAAGTATACCCAGCCAATAAGCCCATGAAAACCCATAACAGAACCATGGCAGTCATTAGTCCACCACGGTTGGAAGGTGACAAGAAACCTAGCAGAGCAAAGATCATTGTGACTAGTGTCATTGCAAGTATTTGTACACCAGTACCGACATAAACACACAGTAATCCAGAATTGATTGGAGGACGGAAAACATCTCCATGAACAAGCTTCCATCCCGTTTCTTCTTGAGCTTCATCTTGTGTTTCCAATTGATTATAGTTTGCAATATCTCTATACAAAGTTCTCATCATGATCATGGCAACCATACCAGACAGGAAGAGAACGATCATAAGAGAATTTATGATCGAAAACCAATGAATCTGATCATCATTCATGAGAAGGTATAAATCCCAACGAGAAGCCCACTTCACATCGCTTTCCTGGAGACAAATAGATAATAGCGAGTAAGATACAACAATAGATGACGAATAGCTTTAAGTCTAAAGCAGGAAGGATAAGGATTCAATAAGTGAATACCTTGAAAGCAACATCATATGTGAATACAACCTCCTTATCTGTATCCACTTCCTGGGGAGAAGCACTACCTAGTATCAATTTTTTTGTATTCTCATTGCACGTTGACACTTGGGGGTTCTTGTCATTCCAATCCTTGTATTCGTGATTAATGCTGTTGAAAAAATAATCAGAAACAGATAGCCTAAATCTACAGTTCCCCACCCCCTGGGGTGAGAAGAATTAAAACAAAAACACAATCTATAGGTGTTAAGCATCTAAACCTGTTTGGAATGACTTCAAACCCAACAATACGAGCAGTATCAGTTTCAGGATCCTTGTGATACTTGACTAGAAAGCTTAAGTGGTTGTTTATAAAATATCTCTCATCTTTGCTCTGGCAGAAGAAAGTAAAATGCATAAACATTTATATTATTCCGAAAGGATTAAGATATCAGTATCTGACAAGTCAGAAACAGCACTAACCCCAGCATATTTCCCCTTGAACCCAACACGGAAACCATGTTCATATGTAGTTGACTGACTTCCATCCAGCCTTTGTCTAGGAACAGCAACAGGAAGATTATCCAAAATCCTGCAACACCATGTGATTGAATATTGAATTTTCATATTCATGCAAAAACATGAACAGAACTACCATGCATAGCAGGAATGAACAAAATATAAAGAGAACAATGCTGAAAAGACATTACTCTTACATATTAACTTTGTATTCATCATCAATCTTTTCCTTGAAATTCTTTGCAGATTCAGCATCAAGTTTTTGCCGACACAACACTTGGCATGACTGATCTTGTCTCATATGGAACTGTGAACAGATGAATAAATAGAAGATACACTCAGCTAGTGCAACATTACATATAACCATCAGACTACAAGAGCATATATCCTTACAGAATAAACTGAATTCTCTATGCGGTCTCCTCGAAGAACCTCCCCCAAATTCTCCGCACTATTCAAAACTTTAGTAGGTTTGCAGAACTTCAAGTAGTAATAGTCATAGGGAAGTTGTGTCTTAGTAGATGACAGCTTGTTCACTTTAACATCAAGTGGATCACCCTGTTAGAGAAAAAGAGGGACATGGAAAAAGGAAGCTTCGTTAGAGTCAATTACACTACAAGGAATCAGTGGGATGCATGGAATTGCTAGGGAATACAATCTTTTTTTATAAATGGGAAGCAATCAAAAGCAACAGATATAAGCATATATAACATAACATAACACTCAAAACACAGATTTTTTCAACTGTTCTCTTTCCTAACAGATTCCATCCAGCAACTAGTCCAAAGTCTTAAATGGAAAGATACAACTCAGGAAGTTGTAACGACTAACGAGCCCATAGTCCAATACATTTTGCTTAACCCAACAAATATCCGGTAACTTCAAGTAATACAAGCTAAACTGGAAAAACAACACTTGGAGTAATCAGTTAAATAAGAAGAAGATCTTCACGATTTCATTCTCTTTAATAAAAAGGCTTTCGAGCTTTGACGCATACTCCCACTATCCCAATTTGTTTGGTACTGTTACTATTTGGGAATTAACCAATCATTTGATCCTCCTATTCCAAACCCCACCATTCTTTTAGGAACACAAACAAAATAATATAATTTCTCCACTGATTTTACCTCAGTTGACTAAGTTAGAATCAGTCTATCAACAAAGAGCGAAAAACGATCACACTCATCAAGCAAGTCAAACAATTTTACAGAAACTAAACAAAACACTAGATCAAACAGGTAACTGAAACCCACTTCATAAAACCATAGATCCAATCATTAATCAGTCAGAAAAACTCTGTAAATTGAGAAATTTCAGAAATTACTGAAGACCCAGAATTGAAATAACCTTAAATTACTAAAGAAACGATTAACCATATTAGTATTTGGATCCAAATGATCCAATCAACCAACTAGAAAACAAACAAAAAAAAGAGTAAATGATAGATGAAGTTTTGAGTGTACAGTTTGAAAATCGCTAGGAGCAACGCCGGGGAGATAGAAAGAGTTCGTCGACGAGATAAAGAAGAGAATAGAGAGGCAGATGACGGTGAGCCGGCCGGATAATCCGCGACCCATCTTCAGTTTTTTCTGCAGGGAGCCAAAAGGTTGAAGAGTCGATAGTTTGAGACAAAGTTCCATATATATAGAACAAGCAAATGCTGTTTCCCTTTGTCAATATTTGGTCCAAAGTTTGGAGAAACTACTTGAAATGAAGAATTTGGAATTATTTTTTTGTGAAATAATTTTTTATTTTATTTATTGCATTTAATGAATATTATTTACAAAAATAATATAATCAAATCAACTAAATCTTCAATCTCCAATTTTACAAATTTTAAATGTTCGTATTTGATATAAAAAAAATATATGGCTAAACACTAAAGCTTGTTTTTGATATTAAACAAAATTGATTTCAAATAAATTGAAACACCAAATTTTTTGAACCAAACGTCTACGTCAAGCAATGATAATAAAGTTGTCCCAATATTTGATTTTTTGCGTTACAAGCATAAAATGGAAAAAAGAAAATAATTCATAAAATTTGTTTACATCATTAGTTAATAATTTTGATCTAAATTATGAGTGGTCCTAATTATTTAACCATTACCTACGTCAAGTGGTAAAAGAGTGGTCCTAATTAATTTTATTGTTATTCATAAATTAAGTAAAACTAGATAAAAATATCATTCATTAATAATTTGATTTAAAAATATCTCTATCACTAATAACTTAATCCAAA